ATGTTCTTTTTTAATTTATAAACATGCTTAATTAGATATTGATGAGCATCTTTTAAAATGTTAGTAACCGATAAATGTTTCAATATTGTTTAATGACATGCTTTTTGTTTAAACAATATCCCACATGTGAAAAGTAACAATATTTTTTTATAACTATTGATTAACTCTTTGATAGTTTTTTATGATTTTCACTTTGTAATTGTTCACAATAAAATTTTATTTTATAAAATCACTTCTAGTGTAATACACTTAATAGGCAAAATACATATCACACTACCTATGTTTTTGATAATAACCATTATTTGATTTATTATCCACCAATTAATCCATGAAATACTATATCTTAATAATAATTTTTCACATATATCAATTTAATTTTAATTGATTTTCATGTAAATTGAACATTAGTCAAAATTTGAACTAATAGTAAATTTGAAAAATATGTATATCAACATTTGCTTTATAAATGACCAACAAAGATAGAACCATATAAGTAGCTTGACTTAACTTATTATCTCAATTTTGGTGCCATGATTTAATAATAAAACTAATATTGTAGCCAAATCTTATTTTCTATATATATTCTTTACTTATATCTAATTTCTCATGGTAAATTCCTTCACTCATTTTTTGTTGTTTTCATAGAAACCATGGGATAATTTACTTGTTCTATATATAACTAATACATAACAATTAAACAATTGACCATTCTATTATAACCTAATTTAATTCATTACTTGATAACAAGTGATAATTCTTTTTGTTATAAATTAATTAATGTCTTTCTCTTTTATGTTTTCAGGCTATTTTCTATCCCAGTCTTTATAAGTATCGATTTTTCAAATAAATATAATACAATTCATTAAACCTAATTGTAGAGTCAGTTTTAGTATATACATAAATTTAAGCAATGTAATTAATATTTTGCATATTGTGTTTTAACTTTACACACTAATGAAATAAATTATTAACACGTTTATCTCATTTAGTCAATCTTTTTACCAGTAATTATGCAAAAAATAAAATATATACCTCTAATGAAGATCTTTATGAAAATTAACATTTTGGTCAATAGAAACATTAATCCTTTGAAACTTTTAGCCTTCTCTAATATTGATTTTCAAATCATGCCAATTTCTTTTCCTTATATCTTTCTCATTCGAAATATAAATTTATCATAATTATCTTTAAATTGTTAGAAAAAATAAATAATAGAAGAAAAATAATAGAAAAGAATTTTGGCTTTGAAGCATGAAGATTACTTTTTTAAAGGCAATTATGCTTTTAGGATAAAACAAAGCCTCAAACTCTCCAATCAAAAGTAGTAAAAATGGTTATACTAAAAAATTTATATAAAATGAATGAACATATATAAACTTCTATTCAGATGATTATGATATTTTGTATAATTATGACCTTTATGAATAATAATTTATTTATATTAAAAGAATTATAATCATTTGTTATATGATAGTTATTTTTGTTCAAACATAACTATTTAAAATATGAATAAAATTAATATAAAAATTAATTTTATTCATCAATAATTAAATCTTTTTATTCAATGTGGGATACACTATATTTTAAACTACCAATCGACCTATTAATTACGTTATTTTTTAGTAGTTATATGGGGAGTCAACTTTCTTTTCAATCTTATTTATAAAAATTGACAATTTATGAAACATGTGTAGGAATTTTAAAACACATTGGCAATGTGCAACCGACTTGAAAACTGTCTTAGGCAAATATGTTGGATTAATATGGATCGGGTTCCTATCATGAACGGATCCTCCAAATATATCCAACATGTTCAAAAATGGGCAAAATAAAAATTGGAACCCAGAACTCCACAATTCGGTCGGAGTTGGAGGTGGTTGGCCCGACAAAAGCTGCACCGCTTCACATGGCTTGGGGGGTTCCTTGGCTGGCTTTGGTTTCCATGTTCATCGATCTTACTAATATATGTGTTTTACAATTTCTTTGTAAAGCATCTAAATTGATCTAGAAGAATCAATTTGACCCTAAAATCTTTCTACTTGAGTAATTAACTTGGTTGAAAATGGAAGCAAAAGTTACAAATTGCAGGAATTACTGGATTAAGTTTACAGCTTCAGCAAACTATGATCATCGATGAAGGGAGGAGAGTGAATAATTAAACACTAAAATCTAGTTTATCTTGATTCAAGCCTTTAAGCAAGAATATTGCAAGGAATTCTGATGAAGACGGCCATATCCCCCTGGACTTCATTTCTTAGAAGGATCAACTATTATATACAGATCATAGATTAATATTTTATTTCAAAATGAAAGCAAATTTTTTGGAAGGGCCATCTCATTTTCATCATCTTTTCAAAAACCAATTATTCATATCTAAATCCATAAGTAATTATTATAATATTTTCAAGAACTTTGGGGTCCAAAGCCATGATCGATCTTTCACCGCTTCTTTAATGGAGCCGCAGAAAATGATGGAACAAAATGATCAATAAAAAATTTTGATAGAAAAAACAGTATATGATTCCTTGGAGTAAAAAAATAAAAAATTTGTAACGATTAAAGTCATGATTGTTACGCTTTAGGGCAATTTGATACATCCAATTAAGGCGTTAATGTTGTTCAAAATGGGCAAAATATGAATGATTCGTGTGATTCATTTCCATGAATTGCCATTATTCATTGTTAAAACACCACATGAAATTGCATATGGCAAAGGTATGACAACTTATTCCATCATCCCTTAGGTTTATTAATTTCATTTGCAAAAATACAACTTATATGGTTCCTTTTCCAAAAAATAAAGCGAAGTTTGAACTCGGAAATGTCACTTGAATTAGTTTGTGAAGATTTTTATTAAAGAATTTTACTATACTTGAATTTCATTTTCATTAAAAAGAAGCTCAATTAAAAAGACGAATGACGATAAAAATTTTAGGAGCTAATTTTAAGATATGTTAGTAAAATATTAAAAATTTAATTTTAATTATTAAAATTCAAATCTTAATAATTTCAATTAAAAATGACGAAAATTTTGGCGACAATCACATTTCACGTGAAACCTATACATTTTAGATTTCACACCAAACCTATGAATTATAAGATTATTTTAGTTGAACAGTTATAACATGTGTAATTAAGTAATTTTTAATTTTGTTTTTGTTTTACCATAATTTTATATAACAATATAAGAGAAAATGATGGGAGTGAGAGAAGAAAGAACATGAAGAATTTAAAAACAATAGATGGGCAGGGTCCTACAGCATTATGGATGCTCAAAATCAGGATCTTCCATTGCCTTAGATTAATTGTAAAACCACCTCAACTGTTGCATTCAAAATTAAACAACCCCTTCATCAATTATCAATTATTATTTTTTTTCGGCTACAAACAATTAATTATGCAAAAGTTTTAACTTTAATTGATGTATAATGATGTCCGAAGAAGGAATCAACATGCCTGTGACATGTGAACATCTCCTGCTTTTGCGGCTAGTGGTTGTAAGAAACCATTATCTCCCAACTCTTTTCTGTAGTCAATATTCAAAATATTATTACTTTATTAATATGATAATGTTTTTAAATTTAATTAAAAAATGGGGTTTCTTTCTTCTTTTCCAATTGTTCACTGTTTTCTCTCCATTGCAAGCTAAATTTTGGTTTGTAAGTTGATGAGTTATTTCAAAGTTAGTTGACTCTCAAACCTTCTCAACTTTACACCTCAATTTCTTGCAGTTATGGTAGACTGCTTAGCATATGGAATATTTAATTTACATTAAATTGTTAACTAAATTTGATTAAAAGGGTATTTTCTTGGTAATTAAGATAGTGGTTTAACAAAAACATGACATTTTTTTGCCTGAAAATGGGATTTCTTGATTAGGAGAAATGGTTATGATTAAGTGGTATCTAGCTTTTGTTTCCTAATATTAAAAATTATATCTTGTATGTTTCCTCTCTTTTTTTTTTTTGGTATTCTTTTTGTGCAAAAGTGATTCAAAAATCCAATTCTAGAAATTAGAATGTGCTATCCATAGCAAGCCAAGCTATGTTAATTCTATAACATTTATTATTATGTGTTAATGGGGTATTAAACACATAACATAGGTTAAATTGAAATTTGACCCACATAATTTAATGAAACTAATATATTTATTAGGAGTAACTAAGATATAATCAAAGTATAATGATTCTTATTTCTCTTGTTTCAATAAACTCTCATGGAAACTATTAAACTAAATTAATGGAGGAATTTTTTTTTTTAAAGATTAGTTGAAGGGATTATTTTATTTCAGAGTTACAACATATAATAAATTTTAATGAAAATTTATATTAAATTTATGGATTGTTCATAGAAAATTATTGGTAATATAAATTTAACTTAAATTTTAAAAATGAAATATTAAATTCTTACCATTTAAACCTAAAATTGAAAGGCAAATTTCTTTCAAATATAATAAAGTAAAAATTATACTAAAATAGCCCATTTTTATAAAAAATTGCAATATATATATATATATATATGATATAACATCATTTAGGGACTAATACAATAATATTTTTATTTAATTCTTTTTGTAATTTCATTAAAGAGGAAATGATGATTATGACAAAAAAAAATTATCAAAATGATTTTATTTTATTTTAGTTTAAGATTTTTTTATATTTACTCCAAAAAAAAAAAAGAAAACTCACCGTAACAATTTTATTTTATTTACTCCCTCTATAAAGAGACAACGCCTTACGCACGCCCACAAGGCCGCACGCGCGCACCTCCCGAATCCGGATTCCCAAACGGTCAAATATATCCCCGCGGTGAAAATTTGGTACGAATTTTACCTGTCTGCTAATAGCATAACAGCAAGCGCAAATCACACGCGCAACGATTAAATTTAATTGAAGAAGTAAAATTTTTTTTTTTCCTATTTCTTTTCTTTTTATTTACCGAGCCTGCTTGCCTTAGTCTATTGTACGTTGGTTTGTTTCACAAATTATTAAAAAAAAAAAAAAAGAAAGAAAGAAAGAGAGAAGAAAAAGCTGTTTTTTGCTCTGCTTTTGTTTTGCTTTGGATTTGGCTTTGGCTTTGCCTCTCTGATATCCCGGCTACAAGCCTGTTTCCTTCTTCTACTTGATCCCATAAAGTTTCTTTTCTGAAAGTCTTGTTCTCGTCGGATTCTAGAACCAAAACGGTGAGCTTGAGCAAGTTTTGAACCGGTTGTTAGCAGTCCATGCAGTTAGTTCTCTACGGTTCTGCTTCTTTAAACCGATTCATCGACGGAATCTGAATTTTTTTTTTTAGAGAAGGGAATGCTTTTTGTGATTGAAATACCGAATGAATCAAAGCTTGTTACGAAGCCAGTGAAGATAAAAATAGCTCAGAGAAGAACGCAGTTTTGGCGTTTGGTGTTCTCTTCAAGTAAGGGTTTAGTTTCTTTGTGAATTGAATGTGAATGGAAGCAGCGGTGTTTCCTCAACCGCGTCTGCAGTAATTTTCCGACGAAGGGATGCTGCAAAACTTTTTTTTTTTGAAGCGTTGTGGTTTCATACCTAAAAGAGTGGAAGTAACTTTATGGTGAAGAAAAGTGATCTCTGGAGCAAACAAAGTGATTGGATTCCTTGAAGAAAAGCTTTTTTTTTTATTATTATTTGATTCAAATTCGTAAGCATGAAGGCTCCACCAACTGGGTTTTTGGCAAATTCTGCGGAAGGTTTGATTTTTTTCTTACTGATTTGTTTAACTCTGTTTCAGTTTTTTTTTTTTTTCTTTGGGTTAAAATAGTCTTTGGGTTTTGATAAGTGAGAGATTTTCTTAATTATTAGTATATATTTAGTTTTTTATGGATTTTTTCCTATATTATACTGATCCCTCAAAATTGTTGTTGGTTTAAAGAAATTGTTATAATTTTTTGGTTTTGTTTTAATGCTCTATATTTGTTCATGTTAAATTTCATATCTTTTTTCGAGAAATCCTATAAAATCCCATTCTGATAAAAATGGAAAGAAGCAAGAAACACGACTAAAAGTTAAAAGTTATAGTAACTGAATAGCAACTTTCCTCTTTTTATTGAGGAAGGTTTGGATTTGGGGATCATTTATCATTTTGCAAACTGGAGGTGAAACAAGGGGGGAAAGAAGAAAGAAAACTTGCAACAACCTTTTTTTGTTGAGTCCAAATATAAGAATATTCATGATAACTTTTTTTAGCTGGTTGTTTGGGAAAAGTAAAATTAATTGTTAATACCGGGAAATTGGGGAATTTTTTCTTTGAGACTATAAAATTAATTGTTGCCTTGTCTATCGTTCAAAATTTTAAAGATTATGGATATTGACAATTTTTTGGTAGTTGCTGCTTGTAATAATTTTTGCGGCTTCTTGTGGTTTTGTGAGATGTTTGACAATATTCTGGTTGGCTTTGGAAAGCAGGAGATAGGAAGATTATCAATTCGGAATTATGGCATGCTTGTGCTGGACCACTTGTTTCTTTGCCGCCAGTTGGAAGTCTGGTGGTTTACTTTCCTCAAGGCCACAGCGAGCAAGTGAGTCACTTTCCTCATTCATTCGTAAGGAATAATTGTTTCTGAATCTGGTCTGCTATGAAATTGTCTCTAATTAATAAATTTTTTTCAGGTTGCAGCATCAATGCAAAAGGAGACTGATTTCATACCAAGCTACCCTAACCTTCCTTCCAAGTTGATTTGCATGCTCCATAATGTCACATTACACGTAAGCGAAAGCAAGCCACCATTATCCTAAGTTTCTTTCTTTGTTTTTTTCAAAGTCATTGAAGGGAAAAAGGTTGTTCCTAAATGAATTTTGTGCATTTATCTCAAGATAAATTGTGCATGCTGCTCCGTTGGATTCAAGATATCCCTTTTCTTATGTTAGAAGTCTTTGCTGGCTTAGGTACTTGGTTCATACATGTGCTCATCCTGATAGCGTAGATAGCTGGTATTTGTGTTTGCATGGAATTCTTCTAGGAAGTTTTATTTGGTGCTGAGCCATACTGCAATATGAATTGGGATCCTGGATAGTATATGCATGAACATAACTTTTTTTTTTTTTTGAATAAGCATGAACATAACTTTTTAATGGTCAAATGATCAAAAAATGCTAGGAAAGTTATATCATTCTTTGAAGTTGCTAACTTGTTCAATTATTTAAATTTTGAACCAGGCTGATCCAGAAACTGATGAGGTCTATGCCCAGATGACTCTTCAACCTGTAAACAAAGTAGGTCAGCTATTCAATTTGAGAATTAATTAATGGATATTACAGAACTGCCTCCCTTTTTTTCTTTTCAATTTTCGCATGTAGTGAAATATAGGAAGAATCTTTAAAGTACTTCTCTACAGTATGAAAAGGAAGCATTACTGGCATCTGATATGGGCCTCAAGCAAAGCAGACAACCTGCTGAGTTCTTTTGCAAGAATCTTACAGCTAGTGACACTAGCACTCATGGTGGATTTTCTGTCCCTCGTCGAGCTGCTGAGAAGATCTTCCCTCCTCTGGTGTGTACGAACTTTTGATATTTAGATTTATGTTTTAAGATTTGAGAGGTGTGATGTAAGCATTTTGTGTCCATCTTTCATAAGATCTTAATGATGATATTTGCTAGGATTTTTCGATGCAACCACCTGCTCAAGAGCTAGTAGCTAGAGATTTACATGACAATTCTTGGACATTTAGACATATTTATCGAGGTATTGTTCTCTTCAAGATATTGCTCTCCTTCCCTTTCACAAGTGGAGGTCTACTGGTATTATAACATAAGACTGTGGCTTGATCAAAGTGTTTTATGCTACAAAGCAAACATTATTTTCTTCTTATTAATGTTTCCTAAATATATTTATTAACTTCCTTGCTACTCAAAACTTTTTGAGGATACAAGAAATTCATTTTTTTGGGAAGGAGGTAGGAATGTTATTGCTTTCTTTCCTTAAACATTTCTGCCATATTTATTGAGGTATTGTTCTCTTCAAGATATTGCTCTCCTTCCCTTTCACAAGCAGAGGTCTACTGGCATTATAACATGAGACTGTGGCTTGATCATAGTGTTTTATGCTGGAAAGCAATCATTATTTTCTTCTTATTAATGTTTCCTAAATATATTTATTAACTTCCTTGCTACTCAAAACTTTTTGAGAATACAAGAAATTCATTTGTTTGGGAAGGAGGTAAGAATGTTATTGCTTTCTTTTCTTAAACCTTTCTGAGAAACATTTGATAGTTCAGCGTTCACTTAATTTTTCTTAATCTTCATTACTAATGCTTTAGGGTGATACTGGTAAGTCATATAATTTTGTTCAACATATTATGGTATTTTCTGTATTTAATGTTATAGGTGTCAGAAATGGAATAATATATCTAAATGCATAATGGCTTCTTTGCAGGTCAACCAAAGAGGCATCTTCTGACTACTGGTTGGAGTGTCTTTGTTAGCACAAAAAGACTCTTTGCTGGTGATTCTGTTCTTTTCATAAGGTATGATTCATATACATACATACATACATACAAACAAACATATATTTGTATGCATGTGTTTAATAGAATTTTAACTATATCTTTGTCATTTTGCTGCTTAACTGAAATTCTTTGCTTAAATGTAGAGATGAGAAGTCGCAGCTTCTGTTGGGTATAAAGCGTGCTAATAGACAGCAGCCAGCTCTCTCTTCATCAGTGATTTCTAGTGATAGCATGCATATTGGGATCCTTGCTGCTGCAGCTCATGCTGCAGCAAATAACAGCCCATTTACTATATTCTATAATCCAAGGTATTGCGATAACATATTTTTGGTGTTCTTAGATTTATTTTTATTATGTAATCTTCAATTTTCATTTTCAAAAAAATAAAATATTAATAGAAGGTCTCAAATATTTTATTAATTTGGATAGGGCAAGCCCTTCTGAGTTTGTGATACCCTTAGCGAAGTATACCAAAGCTATATATACCCAAGTTTCTCTTGGCATGCGGTTTAGAATGATGTTTGAGACTGAGGAGTCTGGAATACGCAGATACATGGGTACAATTACCGGTATCAGTGATCTGGATCCTGTGCGATGGAAAAATTCACAATGGCGCAGTCTTCAGGTATTCTTTGGATATAACGCATTCATGAATGCAAATTTTGGCTCTTTATTGTTCTTTTGCATTTGTATTTTAGAAGATGCCTGGTATGATTTCAGTTGAAACACGTTATTAACATGCAAATAGTAAGTTACATAATATGGTTTCCTTCATAATATATTGCTCTATTATAATTTATATGGACTTGGCTACCTAAATCCTCCTCTGCTGGGGCTTACATGTAAGTAAGCTTGGTGATGGATATCTTAGCATATGTCTTTTTGGTCTTGTTATTTGACTGTGAACACTTAAACTTAAACTGACTTGCTCAGTGGTCCGAGATTCTTTCCTGCTGAACCATACATGTAGTTTTAAACTAATACTTGCTAGATCTATGTTAAAGTCTAGATATTGTTGCTAAAGGAGAAAGGGCCACATAATTTTCAGTTTTGGCAATTTACTTTTATATTCTCAACAGGTTGGATGGGATGAATCTACAGCCGGTGAACGGCCTAGCCGAGTTTCAGTTTGGGAAATTGAGCCTGTTGTAACTCCTTTCTACATATGTCCACCTCCATTTTTCAGGCCCAGGTTTCCCAAGCAACCAGGGATGCCAGGTAAATCATATTTACTAGATATATCTCGCTGTAAACATGGACAAGGAATGGAAAAATTCAAGAACTTAGTTCTCCTTTGAAAATGCATTCGCAGATGATGAGTCTGATATTGAGAATGCTTTCAAGAGAGCTATGCCTTGGCTTGGAGATGACTTTGGTATGAAAGATGCCCCTAGTTCAATCTTCCCTGGTTTGAGTTTAGTTCAGTGGATGAGTATGCAACAAAATAATCAGTTTCCAGCTGCTCAGTCAGGATTCTTTCCATCAGTGGTTTCTTCGAATCCACTGCATAATAACCTTAGCACTGATGATCCTTCCAAATTATTGAATTTTCAATCTCCTTCATTACCTTCATCAAATATGCAATTTAACAAAGCAAATGCAAACCAAGTCAACCAGTTGCCTCAGGCACCTATGACATGGCCTCAGCAGCAACAACTTCAGCAGTTATTGCAGACTCCTCTAAATCAACATCAGCAGCAGCAGCAGCAATCCCAACAGCAATTGCAGCGACAACAGCCGCAACAACCTCAGCCGCATCTTCTTCATCAACAGCAGCCTCAGCCACAGCCACCTACACAGCATCAGCAGCAGCAGCAGCAACAGCAACAACAAGAACAACTGAGACAACAGCCACAACCGCAGCAGCAGCAGCAACAGCAACAACAAGAACAACTGAGACAACAGCCACAACCACAGCAGCAGCTGCAACAACAAGCATTCCTACCGGCTCAAGTAAATAATGGCATCATTGCTCCTAACCAGATCCCAAATCAAAATTTGCATCAGCCAGCTGTTTACTCTCAGTTTCTGGCAAGCAATAGCCAGTCAACCCAAACTATCTTCTCTGCTAATAAGACTTCATATCCTTTGACGTCATTACCACAAGATACACAGATTCAGCAACAGATGGAACAGCAAACTAATCTCATACAGAGGCAGCAGCAACAGACACAGTTGCAGCAATCACCACTGCAATTGTTGCAGCAAAACCTGTCCCAGAGGACGCAGCAGCAGCAGCAGCAGCAGCAAATCCAGCAACTGTCACAGCAGGGCCTCTCAGAGCAACAGCTTCAATTACAACTGTTACAGAAATTGCAGCAACAGCAACAGCAGCAGCAGCAGCAGCAGTCGTCTCAACAATTACTCTCCCCAGCTGCATCACTGTTGAAGCCTCCGATGGTGCAGCAACAACCAACTCTTCAACAAAACCAACCATTGCAGCAGTTGCCTCTTTCTCAGAGCCAGCCACAACCACTTGGCAGCAATGGCTTCTCAACATCAATGCTCATGCAACCTCAACAGATTTCGTTGAACCAACCCCAAAGTCAGAACAAACCACTTATGGCAATGAGAACCCATTCTAGCCTTACTGATGGAGATGCTCCATCATGTTCAACCTCACCTTCTACCAATAATTGTCAGGTTTCCCCCTCAAACTTTCTAAACAGAAGTCAGCAAGTACCATCCATATTGGTGACAGATTCGGTTGTTGAGCCTGCAAGTACACTGGTTCAAGAGCTTCAGAGCAAGCCTGATATCCGAATCAAACATGAGCTGCCCACCTCTAAAGGAATAGACCAATCAAAGTACAAAAGTACTGTGACAGATCAATTAGAAGCATCATCTTCTGGAACATCCTACTGCCTGGATGCAGGCACCATCCAGCATAATTTCTCCCTCCCCACCTTTCTGGAAGGTGATGTCCAATCCAGTGCTCGGAACAATCTTCCGTTTACGACTAATATTAATGGATTGGCACCTGACACTTTGTTATCAAGGGGATATGACTCTCAAAAGGATCTTCAAAACCTTCTTTCTAATTATGTTGGCAATCCAAGAGATATTGACACTGAGTTGTCTACTGCTGCAATAAGCTCTCAGTCATTTGGTGTGCCAAACATGCCTTTCAAGACTGGGTGCTCAAATGATGTTGCCATCACTGAGACAGGAGTTTTAAATGGCGGATTGTGGGCCAACCAAACTCAACGCATGCGGACATATACAAAGGTATGTAACCCCCTAATAATGGTTCTGCTTGTTACCTTGTTTATACTCTTTGTTCTATATAAGTTCTGATATCTTGGGAAAGGTAGATGTTTTTCATACTTCCTATTGGGGCTTGGGCAGAGGGGAGTCTTTTCAGCATCACTTAAAGTGGCACACCAGAACTAAATTGCTAGCAATGCTAGGTTTAAACCTTGTAATTTGAGACTACCTAGTTTTAGAACGTTGAAAGTAGGAACAGTATATATTCACTGTAATCCAACATTGTAGCCTTGCAATTAGATGGTTTCTGAGCTGTATCTTTTTATTTTATCAGTCTGATACATATATGTCCACAAGGGCGATATTGTAGTTTCAGCTAAATCATCACGTTGTAGAACATTTGTTTGGCTTTTCCCTTGTTTTCACCTTGCATCTGAGGAAGGCTGAAATATATTGTTGACCTGTAAAGTTTTAGCATTTTTCTGATATTTGCCCAAGAGTAGATAATGTTCTGCGACTGATGCAATTGAAAAAATCTCTCTCAAATATTTCACCTTTAATCTTACGTTATTTTTGCATCTTGTAACCCTAATCTACAAATCCTTGACTTGCTTTATGTCCTATTAATTTTAGGGAAATTTTGGTACTTGTTAAAGCGTATTCTCATTATAATATGATATATTGTCTCTATGTCTTTTGCTGAAAAACTCTAATATACTGGGTGCTGGTTTGAACTCATGAAGGTGCAAAAGCGTGGCTCTGTAGGAAGATCAATTGATGTGAACCGCTACAAAGGGTATGACGAACTCAGGCATGATCTAGCCCGCATGTTTGGTATTGAGGGGCAGCTGGAAGATCCACAAAGTTCTGACTGGAAATTAGTTTATGTGGATCATGAAAATGACATATTACTTGTTGGTGATGATCCTTGGGAGTAAGTGAGGAAGCCCAATTTGAACTTTAACTTTTAGTTTTTGGTCTCTTTATTTATCCTTAACTTTGGAATGTCTAATTCTTTGCAGCGAATTTGTAAGTTGTGTTCAGAGCATAAAGATACTGTCATCTGCTGAAGTGCAGCAGATGAGCTTGGATGGTGATCTTGGAAATGTGGCAGTTCCCAATCAAGCTTGCAGTGGGACTGACAGCGGAAATGCATGGAGAGGACATTATGATGATACCTCAGCTGCCTCATTTAACAGATGAAAGTCTCAAAATTCAGACACAAAAAAAAATTGATATATCTTTTGCCATTGGACTTGTCCTTGGCTAGTTGATAAATCTGGTGTATGCATGTTCACTCAGGAGGATACAATTTAAATCAAGTCCTTCCAAGAGAAGTGATTACCCTGGGTAATTGAGCCTCTAGAAAGTGTGCTGATTCGTTGGTGTTAAATTTTAAAGTCAATGCCATTAAGTTGGCAGAAGGATCATGTTTTAACTTAAGCATCCACTTTTTGACTTTGTTCTTTGTTGGTAGTTCTATGGTGAGGTAAGGTGCAGAAGGGAGCAAGAGGCAAGGGACCGTTGATGTATAATATTTAGAGAGTTGATCTGACATTCTCTCCTGTAAATGCTGTGATGTAGATCACATTATCCGCAAGATGTGTAGTTTGGTCGAAGCTATTACTTGGCAGATACAATTAGCAATCAATTCTTGTTCATGTTGCCAACCGATGCTTCCTTCCACTCCTTTTTTTATTTTATAAGAAAATGTTCCCCTTATGGGAGTGGCTTTTATCTTATCAGAAAATGCCACCCTTATGTGGATTAAAAGGATGTTATGCAACATAATTCAACAGATCCCGAGGCTGATGCTACAGTGTCATCATAACGTCAGTGCCGGAGGACAAAGCTATATCTATCATCGACCTATAAAAATATGAACTGGTTATATCTATGCTGGCTTTGTATGAATAATGAAACTCAGGTGTCGGTGCCAAGCAGAAGCCAGTAAAGGTTCCTATCCTTCAGCCCAACAACTTGTCACCATCCTTCACTAGTTTATTTTGAGAAACACCTCAGCCGGCATCTTATCACAGAATTTTCATAAGAGCCTAAAATATACTGCTGGAATCCGGCCATTGTTTGCTTAGGCTCCATTTAAATGAGTGATGAGATTAAAAACAGTAATAAAATTTATTATAATTACGATTAAAAAAAATTATTATAATATGATTGAAAAATAATTTTAATAAAAAATTTATATTGATTTAATCTTACTTGAATGCAACTAAAAGTGCGATTCGGTGTGATAGAATCCAAACGGCTACTTAGACTTCCACTTACCAAAGAGCTCATGGCGCTGCACACTCTCCTTTCCCTCACTAGCAATGGCATTCGCAATATCCCTTGCCAGTTAGTGCTGCTCCACGTTAGTTCGCTCCTTTCTATGCTTTGGCAATGCCTCGTCTATGGACTCAAAACATTGCCAGGTAGTAATCCAGAGTGTAAGGGGCTGTGTTTCTGTTTGATTCTTGCTCTACCAATGTGGCAACCTTGGGAGAAAATGAGTTTACCATTAGCAGAAGCCCATCCCTGGGTTTCTCGTATCAAAGCTCTTGTCAGGGTTGTGATGCAGTTGCAATGGAAAAGTTTGTAGCCAGAGCCTCCCTCCCCAGGCCTGACACCAAGCATGTCCCTTACGATATCTTGTGCAAAAAGTGGCACCACATGAAACTCAACTGGAATATTGAACTTTTGAATACTGCTATCAAACATGTCTTTCAACAGCACCACCACAAACGTATTTAGAAACAGGATCGTTAATTACTGTAATCCGGACATAAGGACCTCCACGCTGTCCGGCTGCAAGAAGGTAGCCGTTGTGTTCTCTGAGCAATCTAGAAATCGATAAATGTGGATGCGATCTTCAGTTCCGCATGCTTCAGCAATGGCCCCATAGGCCGCCAATGTAGTCAAACTTCAAGTAGGGGCAGATTTCATGTTGGAAAGCTGGTCTTTGCCTTAAGGCTCTCCGCAACGAAGGGTTATATATGTTAGACCGTGATGTCTCCCTTGCCACCAACCCTTCCACCATGTAACCTCCAAGACGCCCGATTCGTTCTTCGTAGATAGACACAGCACCACTAGCCTTCGCAATCAACTTATCAAATACTGTACGCAGGCAACAAATGCGTCAGATTGAGATTGCCTGGTGAAATACCCAGTCAAACCATACCTAAAATGCTGGACACACACATTCTATGGAGAAAGTTAGGCATCAGCTATCAAACGTGATGGAAAAGATGTCACAGAATTTATCAGCAGTCAAGAATGGGATTGTCAAACCATTTGTTATAACTACAAGAAACTTCGACACTATAACAGAAATTATACCTTCAGGAAACAAATTTGACCTAGAACTTATTCCCAGGAATCAAAAATCAAAACCCAAAGTTCCAATATAGAAAATATCTTCTTATTTCACTTGGATTTTTTTTCCATCAAAGCCTGAAATCGGAGGAGAATTTTCGAGGAATTCCCCTATTGGTCAATATGCATGGGTGAAACTGCTTCAAAATTCACCGTAAACTACTGCTAGCATGTTTCTTCACATGCCAAAAGTTAATATCTTTCAAAACCACCACAAAAGTTGATATTTTTCCATCTATTTTTGAAGCAATTAATGTGATTTCGGATTGGATCACCACTGGCCAACAGGCGCTCATAAAACTTCATTCATAGGTTCTTTAACTTTTGTCTTCTTTCTGATACATATCAATTAATTGCTCAAAAGCTCATACGAATTCTGCTCCTCTTCATGTTTAAATAAGTAATGTATGAAATATCATGTGCTTGACCTGTGTTCCAGTAACTAAGAAGATTCTGGGCAGGGCCCCTGGAGGCATGCGCTTCTCCGGTACTGGTTGGACTGCAAAAGCTTGAACACACCGTATAACAAACTGGCGCGGGATCTGAAATCTAATTGCAGAATGGAAATAAACGAGAGTTCCCTTACACTTGTTCTTGGGTATAGGGTTTAGGACATAAAAAAAAGTTAAGTTTCTTTGAAGGCATCAGAAAACTCAAATTGTAAGAGTATATTTTGAACCCTTAGTGCCCAACCGTCTTTTATTTATTTATTTATTTTCGCTCAAAAGTTCCCACGTATTGCCCAGCAACCGGACTTCAGACGACAAAGCTGCAATCATTTATGGTAAAGAAAAAAAATTACAAAATCCTCGAGCTTCGTGGCAACTCATCCGTAAAATTCAGTTGTACACCTAATGCACATCTCATTAGTCAACTAAGAGAGAACAGCCATTACATCAGATACTCTCATAGCAATATAATTAGTACCATCACTGCCGTTGAAGTCATTCCCTGTATAGTTGGAATACAGGACTGTGTTTCCTGGAGCAACTGGTAACGGCTTTTTGTTACCTTCCTCATCCAAAGTACCAGGTCCTACAGCTATCACCTGTTTCATTCAATGCAAGGTATAAGTAAAATATTTAGTACCAAAACAGGAAGGTACATGCCCTTTCCCACCAAATTATCACTGTTCCTCTTCCTCACCGTGCCAATAGAAGGCTTTTTTTCCTTGCTTGCCTGTGTCAGCCACAAACCCCCAGCAGTTTTCTCCTCAGCTTTAGCTACCTGCAATCAACATTCAAACACAACATTAAGTACCTTCAAATTCCATTTGCCCACTGTGATATCTGCAACATGAACTTACATTAAAAAAGATGGCCATATATTGGAAAACAATTAGCTAGGTTCCAAACATTTGGGAGAGTCAAAAGAAACAACTGACAAGTCAAATAAAGAGAAGCATTACAGGAACCCACAATTCCTCATCTTATTAATCTAGACTTTACACTAGATATAGAATACTGCAGTAGCAACCAAACTAATGGATTTTGAAAGGATAACTAACCTTAATGAAAACTGTGTCATTCAGAGGCTTGAGATCTTTAATGTCATCTGTTTCAAGAATCCCAACAATGTCATCCTCCTTCAGGATAAGATGATTTGAATCATTGAACTCGACCTCCGTCCCAGCATACTTGGAATATATGACCTGGGCACCAGTCTATACAAACCATAGAATTGTGTATGTATAACAATGATGCAACAAAGAGAAAACCTGGGAAAATATCTAATCCTTGAAATTCACCTTAACAGAGCTTTCCAATTTGGTCTTCCCAATTTTCTTCCCTTTACCAACAGCAACCACCTCACCTCCTTGAGGCTTTGATTGAGCTGTTGGTAGAAGCAAAATGCCACTCTCAGTCTTCTGCTCTGCTTCTTTGATCTTCACCAACACCCTATCACCCAAGGGCTTAATCAAAGTGTACTGCATAAAGCAATAAGATCAAGTCATGTGATGCTTATGAATTATACAGACAAGCAGCTGAATCTATGGAGTAGGAATCATGGAAATTATCAGCTTTGCTACACTAATTGTACGCACCCACAAGCATAGAGAAACAAACACAAGTCAAGTCTAATTCATTAGAAGTGTTCAAAATAGAAAATGTATATAATGCATTTTCAATCCGAGTATTATTCATAACGTAATGGAAATTGAAATATTAGAATACACAAGGCACAAAAACATCAACGTGCTACAAACGCCCCTAATTTCTGTAAATCGCCCTACTCAAGTTTAAATCTAAATCTCTCCAACAATGCTTTAGCATTTCAGAAATACTCACAAAACAATGGCAAAAATTATGAAGTAAAGTCGCATCACAACTACATTAACCAGCACCAGTAAACAACTTAACATGAATGAAAAACAACCGGGAAAAAACAAGTTCACAAAAATAAAACTTTACCCATTAACTACAAAACAATGGCGCCAAAAATTGTAACATGAATTACCTTAGCAGCAACAACGCCAGCAGCTTTTACAACCAAACCCTTAAAGGACCTGTGGGTCAAAGCACCAGACTTTAATGTTCCTAAAGAAGAGAATTTCCCAGTGGATGGCCTAAGCCCTTCAAACGAAGCCAAGTTCCTTGCTGATACTGTCACTGACGATGCTGTTAGCTGAGTTGTAGCCATTCCTGTATTCGAATTTCCCAAAACGCAAACAAGTTTCAGTCAATGCAACCAAAATTTCTTAACAAAAAACAATACTTTCAAAAAAAAAAAAAGATTATACCTTTGAGAAAGATGGGGTTTTGAGAAGCTACTCAAAATGACGAGGGTTGGTTTGGTTTGGTTGCTTGAAAGTGGAGATGTCTAAGAAGACAAAAGCCCTAGTGTGTTAGACTGGGCTTTATTTTATTGATAAGAGACTTCCAGAATGTTGGCCTTTTAAGGACAAAGATTGATCGCCACGCGCCTCACCCTAAAAGCCTTTGGTTACCTACCCGGATATATCAAAGTACGACAAAATAAAAAAGAGGGTTAGCAGTCAAACGGGTTAAGCAAAACCCGCCTGGATATGAATAGGTAAAAGCGCACGCGCTTAAGAGGAACAGGAAGAACAAACTTGAAAGAAACCAACGACAACGCAGAGGCTTCTGGAAGGGGAAAATAAAATGGTATCCTTTGCAATAGCAGGTCTAAAAGCTAAAGGGCTCATGTAAATTTTATGGGCCTTGGCTTGTAAGGAACTGGGCCTTTTCTAGGACTTGATTCTATTTGCTTTTGCTTTGTTTCTTTGCATGTAATAAAAATGCCGAAAGAAAAAAGGGTTATCTATAATTGGGCAAGTAAATTGTTGATATGGAGTATAAGAAGTTTGGGCAATCGATGGATTGAAAATATTATTTCCCACACGGGCAGGTGTTGGACCTTGTGTTATCCTATATCAATCCTTCTGTTGTTTTGGATAGCTTCTATCAATCTTTATTAGTTAATCATCACCACCACCATCACCATCATCATCATCATCATCACCATCATAAGAGCTAAAAAGTGGCTTCGAATTCAAATGATGGACAATAGCAGCTCATGCATTCAAAATTGCGGCTAAAAGTGTCCCACGCTCTACAAGTGTACAGTAGCCACTTGAGATTGTCAAGTTTGATAGGAATTGCTTCTATATTCAAAATTTTCCACTCTTACGCAGTCTACAGTTCTTTCTTTCCATTTCAATGACAGACTAAAAAGGCGGAGAGGTAGCTATGGCAAGTATGAAGAACGGGCAAAAATGGAATGAATGATTCCATCAGCATTTTATGCTAATTGTCTGATTAAACGAAATAAGAAAATTTATTGTCTTATCCATGTTAGTCATATATACATGAAAGTTTCAAAGGAGCTGGGATTTTGGTGATTGTCAACTTTGAACTCATTATACAGTTGGAATTGAAGAGGCAGGAAACATCTTTCCTCGTTTCCATTACAAGGCAATGGGCAAACTCTAGTTCTCCGCCGCATATGATTGATACTTGATAGCCAGAACTGCACTCTTTGCCTTTGGAGCCAACTTAAGCCAGTTAAATCTGATAAAGAGCTGAACCATCTAAGCCTTTGTTTGTTGACCAAAGAAAGAAAATATCATGTAGTAGTAGATCATGCATGACGTAAAATATAAGCCCGTGTATGCGTTTGGAGAGGAATTAAGAGATATTGGTTCGTGGATGGTTTGAATTGGGAGTGGGGACCCGTTCGTCGATTGATTGGGTAGGCTACTTATCGAAGCTTAGAGATGAAGTTCAAGGTTGACGTTGCCTGCCTGCCTTGTTGCTTCCTTAAGTTTAATTACATGACGGTTAGATCCTGGTTTGCCAAGTACCCGAAGTGAACCGTTAAAGCTTATTGTATTGTTTAAATTTTTTTTGAAGGTTGACTTAGCAATATGATTCTTTAACAGAAATTCGCTTGCTTAAATTTGTTCAAAATAAAATAGAGTGAGCTCAAATTTATATGTCAACCTTTGACCAGCATCAAAATTATATATTGAAGAAAAGTTCGTATTATGACATTGCTATAAAAATATAGGCTTTCTCATTTAAAAGTAGCTAATAGCCCAATAGTAGCGTACATGTTGACTCCATTTTTTTTAACCCAAATTGTTGACTTTATATTAATCTAGAACTATGTCACTAATCATCCAAATTGGTAAATTTGAGACAATTTATATGATATATATATATATATATATGGTTACAAGGTACATTTTTAAATCCCTAGAGAATTCCAATCTTCATGCATCAATTCAAAGAAGGTAGCGTAGAAACAACATGTAATTATTTTAACCATTTTGGGTTAAAATTTTAAAATTTAAAAGTCAAATTAGAATATCACTACATGTTGAAGCAATAAATATATTAATTATATTATTTTTTAAAAAAGAATTTCACCAATGATATACAAAATAATACTCAATATAAATATTGTTTATATAGCCAATAATTGTTGTTAGTAGGATGTTAGATTTTTAATTTTAGTGATTAAAATTTAAACTTTGATAAATTTAAATATGAAAATAAATAAATATTTTTTATATATTAAAAATAAATATTTGAAATCTGTTATTTAATATAAAAAAATGCATGCATCAAATATCAAATCAAATCTAACTCCAAGGTAAATCTTTTATAGAAATTTTTAAACTCATATTTGACCGAAGAGAAATTATAAAATATTTTTTAGATAATACCGGATAAAAATAAAACAAGGTTAAATATATGGATCAAGTTTGGCATTTAAAATTGCCAACTGAATCGGCGATTCATGAACATGTAGGGTTGGCATGTAATGCAGCAACATGATTTCGGCTTTAAAAGGCCCAATAAACTATTCATTGTTTAGCACTTTTACTAAAGTTAAGTTTAAAATAATAAATAAAGAAATTGGGCACGAGTAATAAAAGGCCCACGTGGTGGAAATATCCTCCCTCCTCGCGTAGCGACGAAATGAGGTCTTAAAATGTCGCCACGTGTCAATCATTTACTCTTTGCGGCTTCCAAACTCCAAATCAAACGCGCCTCTCTCTCTTTGACTGATCACTCTGTCAGGGAGTATCGTTTCCCCTTTCCCCACTCCCAGTATATATATATAACAGAGCCGCAAATTCCCCTATGCCTCAAAACTCAATAAAAGCACAATCAAATCCTCTCCCCGAAGCCAAACCACAGTACTACCACTACTACTACTTGCTACTAACGAATTCAAAGACAGAACCGAGAAAGAAAAAGAAACCGCAGAAAAAAAGAATGGTGAAACACATAAGTGAGAGACCTGCAGCTGAGAGAAGTGATTTGAGATTCAAGGGCGTCCGAAAGCGAAAATGGGGGAAGTGGGTGTCCGAAATCAGACTACCCAACAGCAGGGAAAGGATTTGGTTGGGATCTTATGACACCGCCGAGAAAGCAGCTCGTGCTTTTGACGCCGCTCTTTTTTGCTTACGCGGCCGCTCTGCTAAGTTCAACTTCCCTGATAATCCACCCGAGATAGCCGGTGGTAGGTCATTGACCCCACCAGAAATCCAAGCCGCTGCCGCCCGATTTGCGAACTCGGAGCCTTCCAGGACCCATTCGGAGCAGTCCAACTCTGGGTTTCAAACGGAGTCCCCATCATCGTCGATTTCGGGAGGGACAGTACAGTTGGATAGTGAGCTTGCGATGGACGTATCGTTTCTGGATCTTTTGACAATGGGTTCGGGTAATTACCTTTCGGATTATGGGATGATATTCCCTGGATTTGATGATTTTTCGAGTGATTTTCTGGGATCATCGGTGCCCAACATCAGGTGCGAGGAGGATAATTTTGATGGGATTTTAGTTCCAGAATCTTTTCTTTGGAATTTCTAAAACCAGTCAGCCTAATTCTGGGAATTTTAGTATCCAGAGTTGGATCCTGAAATTTGGAAGGGCCAATTTTTGTACGGTCCACCTGAAATTACTATCATTTTTATAATTTAATCGTCATGAAGAATGTAAAGTGAAGCATTAATTAAATGAAAGATTACTGTTGTAGATTTTTTTCTATTGTAAAATTATTATGATTATGTCACTTCGGCTAGTGCAATGGAAATCACATGTTTATTACGGGCTACTATCAGTTAAAAACTGCCATTGGACTTTCCTCGTACTCGAAAAGCCTAACCTAAACCCAAGCTCTCCATACTTTGATTTGCTGGTCAGTTTTGGGGTTAGAGATTCAGGTTCGATTGGAAATTTTTTATCACATTAGAAGGTACGTTTTATAATTTTTTATTAAACTTTGATTATCTTTCTCTAACTGTCCTTTAGCTTTATTTCAAAAAAAAAAACTTTCAAATGAAGAGTCTTTAAAAATATAAAAAATTATGGTCGTTAAAGAGATAAATCAATTGAATTAAATATTATATTAATATATAAAATTAAATTATACATACACAATTTTATTTAATATTAATATATAAAATTAAGTATACATACACAATTTTATTTTATATTAATATATAAAATTAAGTTATACATACACAATTTTTTAATGAGTGCTTCAAACACATTTTTTAAAAACTATTTTATTAAATGATATTTTCATCATTACATTAAAATCATTAAATTAATTATAAATTATCACATTTAATGTAAAAATATTACTATAATTAGTATATTAACCTTGAGCTCGTAACAAAATCCAAAACATGCAAAAATTAGATATGGTCATAATCTTTGATGCAATCAACAAAAGATTTTTTTTTTTTTTAAATTTGATCATCAAAAGATTTTGTCAATCTAACTAGCTTGTATACATGCACATTTCTTTTTCTCCATATTTGGATCCTCTCATTTTCAATATCACTATGGTAGATCTCATGACAAATGATTTTGAAACATCTATAAACGAAGAAAAACAAAGTGCGGCGCTGTAAACTTCTTATGGCCCTATCTTCCTTTAGTGCTTTTCGGCTCTGTACGATCGAACAAAGCAAAAACAAGAAACGAAATCAAAACGCATCCTAAAAAATATCACAATCTAAATCTTTGACAGTTCCTACGGTTAGGAGAGGAAAGATGTATTAGATTTGTCTATTTTATATAACGTATAAAATATAAAAATTATTATATTATAATTTATATTAATACGTTAATTATAATTTATATTTAATTTTTTAATTCATTTACAATTTTCATTAATATTTTATATTAAATCACCTAATTTCATCATTAAATTTTTTTATCTTATGTTGTCATATTATATTTAAAGTTATTAAATCTAATGAAAATGATGTACGATTTCCTCCAATAAACATGACAAATTTTGTTGTATTAAAAGACAGTTTAGAGTCTACCATCTGATGCCTGCCAGTTCAAGCTTATTTGGCCAATCCCAAAGCTTACCAAAAGCAATAAGAATTCTTATCAATCACTGTTCATATGGCTGCTCACTTCTTACGCACGGAAATTCTTTCAGGCGCCGCCATCACCAAAATTTGGTAAAAATGAAATTGATTTGACCTTCTAGAAGCAAAGGAAACAAACTTTGCCTAATTCCCCGCATCCTGCACGTGTCCATTTCTCAGACACGTGTAATAGAATGATAAATCACTCCTTAATGTTTTACGTGGCAGTTGCTCAAATGTCCACGGGCTTCCTCCTTCCGTCTCCAATTTTTTTTCTTTTGCAAAATCCGCCGTTTGTATTTTTTGTTTAAATACGTACGTAGAACACAAAATTAACGGAAAAATTTGAGGAGAAAGAAATTGGTGAGACCGAGAAGGGAGAGGGATGACGGCGTTAATCATAACCGTAACGGACGTTACAAGGGTATACGGATGAGGAAGTGGGGAAAATGGGTAGCGAAAGTACGGCAACCGAACAGCAAAGGAAGAATATGATTGGGTACTTATAGGACAGCAAAAGAAACTGCGAAAGCATGCGACGCAGCCGTTTTCTGTCTGCGTGGGACTTCGGGAAAGCTTAACTGCGTGGCGGCTGCGGCTGGGAATTCTTACACAGAGTGTTATTTTGGCGGTGGGAGTGCTGGAGACGTGTCCGGTCGAACTTATTATCACTCGCTTGGTGTTTGGACGTTCTAGCTCTACGAATTTCATTTCGTTTTGTTTTTTATTTCTGGAAATATGAGTTGAAATTGGATGTTGTAATAGTTTTGAGATCATCATATATATAAAAAAATTTTAAAATCGAAATAAATAAAAAAATCATCATCAATTTTTATTAATGTGATTGGTTACTCAAAAATTTATCTTTTTAATAAAATTATAAAAGCGGATTTAAAATTTATCAAAAAGATAAATTTTGATTTATAAAATCAGGTTAGATTCAAGAGTCGGTTACATATGAAAAATGATTAACATTCCTACAACGCCCATAAATTGGTACCATTTAATCATGTGTTATTTTCGGATTAGATAAAATGGTTTTGACTTGAAATTGAATACTAATTCTCTTTGTTTAAAAAAATATTTTTGCTAAAATTTTTATTTAGAAATATTGAGAAAATTTTTAAGTTAAAAAATTATCTTAAAATTTTTCAACATCTAGGTAGAATTTAAAATAACTCATTTCGCTTAAAATTTAACACAATAATCCTTAAAATGAAATAACACTCTTTATAGAAAATTGTTGGTGACTCTCCAACATCTAGGCAGAGTACCAAAAATTATTTCCTTCGAAATGTTATTTTTATTTTGTTTTAAAATTGCATATTTTTAAAAACAAGTAAATAAAAAACATTTTATACGAAAAAAAATAAAAATAAGGGATGATACTATCAGGTAACAAACAAATATGCAAAATGAGTGCAAACAATAACAAATAAATGCATGTAAGCTAATAGGTGCTATGTATAATGAAATGCAAATTTGAAATTGAATTCTTAAATATAATGAGACCATATTGACTTCTCAACATCTAGGCGGAGCTTAGGTGCGACTGTTCATATTTAAGATCCCATTTTATTTTATTATACTTTTTATTTATTGAAGTTTTCGATTCATTATTAAAGCGCATTAAGGACTTGCAAGAAAAACTTAATGGAATAAAATTTCTTAAAAACCCCATCATCTAGGCGACATTCAAGAATAAATTACTTTATTTGAGATTTTCGTACATATTTTTAAAGTTTCGGAATGGTTTTAAACTTGGGTATGGGTCGAGGTTTTAAAGATTTGGTGAGTTTTAGGCAATGATTTGGGATTTTGTACCAAATTTAGGGTTTTCAAAATTTTGGATTTTAAGGTTTAGGATTTTGGATTTTAGGGTTAGGGTTTCAAGTTTCAGATTTTGGGGTTTAGGTTTTTGATTTTAGGGTTTGAGATTTGAAGTTTTGGTTTTAAGGTTTAGATGATTTACGGTTTAATTTTAGGGTTTGAAGGTTTGGAGTTTTGATTTCAGAGCTTGGAGGTTTGAGGTTTTGATTGTAGAGTTTGGAAGGTGAAGGTTTTAATTTTAGGGTTTGAAAGGTTTAGGGTTTTATTTTTAAGGTTAGGAGGTTTAAGGTTTAATTTTAGGGTTTGAGAAATTTAGAGTTTCATTTTTAGGGTTTAGATTTTAGGGTTTTAGATTTGAGGGTTTGGAAGTTTTAAGGTTTAATTTTAGGGTTTGAAAAATTTAGAGTTTTGTTTTTAAGGTTTAGATTTTAGGGTTTGGAAGTTTTAAGGTTTAATTTTAGGGTTCGAGAAATTTAGAGTTTCGTTTTTAGGGTTTTGATTTTTAAAATTTGAGGTTTGAGATTTTGATTTAAGGGTTTAGATTTTAGGGGTTTTGGATTTTGGGGTTTGGATTTAAAGTTAGGATTTTAGGTATTTGGATTTAAGGGGCTTGAATTTAAGAATTAGTGTTTAAAGTTTCGTTTTTAAGAAAATGCGAACATCTCTAAAAATCTCCAACATTTGGGCTGATTTTCGGAGCAAGTTTGATTTTAACGATTTTTGAAAATTAATAAAAAATTTCTTATATATTTCTTTTTAATGAAAATTTAATAATAATAATTTTTCAATATCTAGGCGAAATTATTTTTAAGAATATGTCTTATTCCCTCAAACATCTAGGTAGGAAAAATAAGAAAACTTATTTTTTTAAATTATTTTTTAAGCATTTTTAATATATATTTTTAATTATTATCTTACTTGTTTTCATTATTATTATTATTATTAAAACAATTAAATATTTATCCTAACAAATTTAAAAATTCATCATGCATAGATATAAAAAATACTCAAAATAACAAAAATAATAATATATAAAAAAAATCAAAAAATTTTTTTTTACTTGAACTAGACCGGTCAATGGTCCAGTCAACAACGGTTTGGTTGGACTGAAAAGGGTTCGGTTTGGCGTGCGGTTCGGTTGAGCCAGCTGAGGAGCGATTCGGTCCGATTTAGTTGGATCGATTCACTACGATTCATCCGAACCGGTTAGAGGGTGACTGAGGTCGGTTGATGGGTTGGTTTACATGGATCTCTGGTCGGGTTCGGTCCATGTGCGGATCCTCTTATGCTTAAAACGACGTTATTTTGGTCTTATGTTTAAAACGACGTCGTTTTGCTCCTATGTTTTCTATAAAAGTCAGTTTTTTTTTCAATTCATTTCACCCTTTAAAAAAAAAAGATTTCTCGCCCAAAAAAATCCTCTCTGGCTTCAGCCAGAATTCGACGCAGGACTGTCGCGACGATCGTCGTCGGTGGTCGTTTACGGTGGTCGTCGGTTGCTAAAAAATGCCAAAAATACTTCCAAACGTTCACCTCAACGCCTTCTTTTCAGATCCAATGTCCGTTTTGTCAGAAACAACCCCGATTGTCGTAGATTGGGGCTTGAAGTTTTTTGCTTTTTTTTTTTAAAATGAGACTGATATATTTTTTTTGCTTTTGCTGGTAGCTTGGAGCTGGGTTCCTCCTTACGGGGAAGACTGTGTTTGTCTTTTTGTTTATATTTTTTTGTTTATTTTTTTGCGGTTGGTGTGGGTTCTGTTGGGGGTTGTTGAAGGGAGAGGTTTGGCTTAGTGTTTGGGCTCGAAACGAGAGGGTGCTGAAGGCAATATGTCTGGAGGTTTCGAAGATCTATCCGAACGTTTTCGATAGGGGGTGTCCGAGAGAGGCTGAAAGGGGAAACATTGGGGGCTTTATAGGGTTAAAAATAATGGTAGCCCAT